AAGAATGATGGAAGCAGATTTTGTGGAGTTTGCAACAGCTAATCTTGGCAGGACAGCAGAAGATGACATGGGAAATGAAGACCTTGTGGATGAGGTATTTTCTAAAAAAAAAACCCATCAGATGGCTTAAGTCTATACTTAAATTACATAAAAACAGCTCTGTAACCAAACAACACAAAGATTGAGTGTGGAAAAAGAAAATTTCATTGTAATGTATAGTCAATTCAGAAATTTGATTTTGAGATTGCCCTTTAGAAGAGTAACTCACAAATTTTGTGTGCCCTGGGCAAGTCCATGCTTATTTTTGTTTCCATTTTTTATTACTTCATTGGAAAATGACTTTTTTGGGTCTCTGTCCATCGAGCAAGTGGACATGAAAAGTTAGTTCTTCCATAGGAAAATCTACCTGTCCCAGACGACCTTTTTGTGGGCCCTAAGTCATGTGGCTAATACATAGTAACAGTTTCTTAGGCTGTTACATATGTGAGGTTGTGCTTACTTGGCAAATTCCATTTCTGACATTGATTCTATAATATAGAATGATGCTGAACTAATCAAATGATAATTCTCATTACAAACTTATTTATAATAATTTTATTTGTCCGATTGATCAGTAGCGCAAGTATCAGTTATTGTGCTTTAAACCAGAAGAATTTTCCTTAAACTGCATCTGAGACTCCCTGCAAAAATATTCTTGGGCATAATTAGTCTTTAAATTAAAACAGCTTGGAAGTAATTTTGGTTGCCTTTTAATTTGCTATTAGGCTACATGTAAAAGAGCATTAAATTGAGTTTAATAATTAATCATGTTTTAATTTGTAAATTTTTCTTATCAAAACAGGATAGACTTGTGTCAGTACTGTTTGGTCTTCTTCGAAAGCACAAGTTTCACTTCTTACACCTGTATCGTGATGAGGCTTATTCCACTATAAAAAGCACTATCAGACAGGTTTGTTTCCAAGTGATTAACAAAGTAACCCTGCATCCAACACACCATCCATTGATTATTAATGTATTGTGCCTCAAAATGACTTTTTAAAGTCATCTCTAAAATTTAATGAGGAAGAATTAAGTAGGAAGTGGGAAACTCAAACCATTTATAAACTTTTTGCATTGATTTTTCATCAGACTGTGCAAGATATTGTGACAGACAGTACCGAGAATGAAGAAGAAAGGTAATTGTCCCTAACATGTTGGTTTAAGGGTAACGTTTTAGCAGTTGTAAAATATGGCTGAACACTGAACGTCACTATTTTGAATTCTCAGGGGAAACAGAAAATAGTTCGAAACAGTGTGAGTTCAAATAGCCGATGGCAAATGACTAAAGGGTAAATCTAAGCTTAAGGGAAATGGTTTTGAGTTTGAAATTACAGATAATTCTGTACCAACAACCCTGGACCAACCAACTCTTTGTTGATAACTTGCTCTACATGTCACCTTCTCCTACTGACCATAAACTTGCAAGCTTAATTGAAGTCCCTTGAATAACTGAAAGATGTTTCTTTCTACACTGAAAGAGGCTAGTGTAAATTATGCACCTTTGAACATCCATGCTCCTAAGAGTGTGATATTGATTAATGGAGTTTTGTCATGAACTCTTCTCTTGTTCATAACAGTCAAAGTCTTGCTGATGCTCTGAGAAGCTTGGATTTCCAACAGTGGATGGCCATGCTGGAGAAAGTGTTCAGCGCATCTCTGAATGTACTGCAGAGGATGCAGGTGAGTGCGACACAGCCATTTTAGTTGCCAGACACTTTCCTCAAGTTGCAAAGGTCAGTGCTAATTCCAGTTGAACTTGCTTTCAGGTGTTACACCAGAGCATTGTACGTGTGTTGGTGATCGCAGCAGGGGGGCTTAAATCTCAGTCGGATCCTGATGATGCAGAAAGTATTGACATACCTGAATCTGATTCTCATTTCCTGAAACCAGTCTGGTGAGATGTTTTCATATAAAAATTACTTTTGATCCAATAAACTGACAGAGATACGTGATGTGGATGATTATATGAGATTAATCATATGGGTGAACTGCACTGCAAAGAATGAAGGAAAGTGAGATCTTTGTAGTCAAAGCAGGAAAATAATTAAACTTGCCACATGGAAATGAAACTGTGAGCAAAGTGAAAAAAATTCCCCCTTCCACTCCTTTTTTTTGCTCACCCCTTGCCTACTTCTCCCTATTTTTTGCTCACCCCAGGTGTGCTCATTTGCTTGCTTGCTTGCTCCATCTTCCCACCTTGAAAATGGACTGGAAATATCTACTATGTAGGCTATAGCTTCCTTATCTCATTTCAGCAGTGGCATGGACATTCTGATAACCACCACTGATTATCGTATGCTGACTCAAGAGAGTAAAGAGCTTCTTTGTGCAGCTTGTGAGATGGCACAGCTTAGGTGTGCCAAACTTATCAACGTCAGAGGAAAGGTGAGCATGAACAGTAATGATGTAGAATTTTAAACTGAATTCAGTGAATGAAGGAACCAATGAACTGACAAACGAACAAAGGGATGAATGAATAAATGACTAAATGAATGACTAAATGAAAATTTTAATGAACGAACAAATAAATGCACAGATGGTCATAGGGGGACAAACAAGCAAAGTAAAAAGCAAATTGACTCTGAGGAGTCTCTTGTTTTTCCCAGTGTTAGTCCAGTAGGTTTGCATGTGAGTGCATGACAATTCACCTCAGACAAGGAGACTGGCTTATAGTGTCGTCTGAGTGTGGTGTGCTTGTGTGTCCAACCAAAGTTAACAGAGGGGAATGGTTATGAAGCCCGGCAAGCATCAAAGGAGCAAACAAGGATGCCGAGATTTATGTTGGGAGGTCCACGACCGAGTACAATCTTTTGATTTACACTATGCATGAGTTACGTAATCAAAACATTTCTATTGGTTAGTTCCTCGGTCAGTAGTAAACAGCTATTGTGTTTACTGTATAAGGTTAAATGCTGTTAATGGCTATTTCTCAACAGAGAAAACTGATCAATGGAAGGCTTTTCACATGGGGTTTTGTTAGTACAGAACAGTTCGTTTTGTTCTTTGTGGAATTCTTTTGGAACACATGATAAAATTTACCTCGCACCCAACTTGAAATTTATTATTACACTGCCATACATTGCACTTAGATCAGTGAAAACTCAACCCGACTTCGAGATTTGAAGACGTTAACTTACCTTGTTATATGGTGCTGACAATAAATATAAGCTTACAGAATGACTGACTGAGCAATACTGACTCGCCCGCCCTCTGTTGTGTTATTGCAGGCTGGTTACCTTGACAGCTTATCCTCATCGGAGTTTGTCAGGCTGACACGCATGGTTGAAGACTTTGTTATGGACTGCGAGAGGATATGTGGAAGACAAAGTCACAGCCTGAGAGCTACCTTGTTATCACAAGCTAAGAAATTTGTGGAAAGATTCCACGAAGAGCGCAAAAATAAATTAAGGTAACAGTGTTATGAAATTATTTCTCCTCTCCGCAACTCCTCAAGTACTAGGCTGCGAGCAGACTTTCCTTTGCTCGGAGATCCGTGGCGAAGAACGCAAAACAAGTGAGTGTACGAGCGTGACTGCATGTGTGACATGCGTGCGGCCGTCGCATTCATATCACGCTCGCACGCTTACCACCACTTACTTGTTTTGCATTGTTCTTTGCATTCGTCGACACGGAATTTTGAGCAAAAGAGAGACTGCTCGCAGTTTACTTTTAAATCCATGGCTTCTCCTTATTGAAGTGATTTTTTCGTTGTCCGTGTATTATTTTGTAGTATTGTTTTTGACTCTAACTTTCATTCGATGTTGGTTTTCTTATGTGACCTGAATCGTGTGTTTTATACATAGTTTGATATTAGACAATGAAAGATGGAAGCAAGCAGATGTTCCCACAGAGCTACAATCCTTAGTAGATTCCTTAGTCGATGGTAAGAATCAAGTGAAATTTTTCTCCACCTTGCATTCGTATTTACTTTCTCGGACGTTTTTACAAAATAATCTCCATTGATAATTTTCAACAGGTGTTTACCCCAGGGGTAAGGAGCCGAAATTCTCCATAGGTGAGTATGACTCAAAGTGATGATTTCTCAGTTGTAAATGATAAAGAGGCTTTCACAGATAACTTTATCAACCTGAAGTTAATGAAGGTAGCGTTAGCTTAGCCTGAAATGTTGGGCCTCGTCCACACAACGGCGGAGAAATTTGAAAACACAGCTTTATTTCTACGGTTAGGCCTTCCATCTACACTAATCCGTTACGAAAACGAAGCCTTACGAAAGCGCTCTGCAAACCGGAGGAATTTGAAAACGTCGGCTTTGCGTTTTAGTGTGGACAAAAAAATCATTTTGAAAACGGAGCTTTTCGACAGCGACAAGGTCACGGTAATCATAACTATGATTTCCTACCCGAGTTTTCTTTAAACAGAAATCCAAAATGACCGGTGATTGTTACGTTTTCAAATTTCTCCGGCGTAGTGTGGACGGAAAACATTTGATGCGCTTTCAGAGTGAAAAATTAATTTCCAATTTCTCCGGCGTAGTGTGGATGGGGCCTCAGTTAAGTCATCTCCCGCCCTCTCAGCCTGATCCCTGGGAATTACGATGAAGACGGGAGATGACTGACATTTCAGGCTAGCGGTGGCCCTTCGAAGGGCGAAGAAAACACTTTGCTAATGATCGAAACGTCAGCCTCACTAACTCGCTAAGACGGTTAATTTAGGTAAAGTTCGTCATTAACAAGCCATAGGGTTCTGCACTCAATCAGTGACATGGTATTGCAGGGTCGTTGCAATGACACCAGTGATTTTATCTTATTTATGCACAGTTGGTTGACATTCCTTTCTTTGCCAACTACTCCAGGTCCAACCGTGTCTAACGAACATAAGCCCTCACCAGATTTGC